CTATTGGAATAACATGGAACTGAAATTGACACCTTCGACTAGGATTGGCTAAAAGTTTTACAACTTAGGTTTAACATAAGCAGATGCTGTTTTATAAAGAAAACAGACTAGAAAAAGGTTTAGATACCAATCATAGATGGGAGGACCAGCACTCAAGTAGAAGTAATTTTTTTTTTTAATTTTGAAAAACAATTTTCTTCTTAGATGGTGCTTATTTACAGTCTAAAACATATTTTAGGATTTTTTTTTCATTAAATTCCTCTTTAAATTTCATTAAATAATACAATTTTGTACAAATAATTGACTGTTATGCTACTATTTACAAAAATAAAATCTGAAATCCAATAAAAGATAAGTTCTCTATAATTTTTTCAATTCACAAATGTGATTTTGCCCTCATGATAAGACAAAATGGCCACAGCAGATAACGGGTTAAGCTGCGCATCTGCACAATAACCAATCAAATGCCACACACTTAATTATTCCAGCCGTGCACATTGTTAGTAATGGTGAGGAGTTTCAACATGGGAACAGCCTTAATGACCCTGGTAGTCAATAGGCCTAAAGCCCAAATAATCAACTGGTAGCATTGCAAAGTGACCCAATGTTTCAATAGGGTTGGTGGTCTAAAATACCTTCCCCTCCAAAAAAAAAAATAAGGTAGCACACATCTGCACATTGCCTTAATACTGAGGCATATGGAAAAACTCATTCTGCACATGGATTGAAAAAATTAGAGGGAACATTGGTTGTATATCGATCTAAGTATTGGATCAATGTTGGTAAAGGCTGCACCTAGTCTATTACCAAGATAGTTTTCAAGATATATCTTTTATAAAGTGTAAGAATTTATTTTAACAAACATAATAGCAAAAGAATAATTGGAGCTCATTAATAATTAGTTAGAAAAGTTCCATTAGAATTAACTTAGAAGTTTACAAGAAAATAAAAAAACTGTATGGAAAGAAAGAATATAAGATTTAAACATAGTTTTCTACCTGTGGGTGTCTAATATTCCCTATTAATTATCAAAGTGACACCCCTCCCCAAATTCTTGTGAAAATCACACACACACACACACACACAAGAAAAATATATATGTACAAAGTTATAGATTGTTAAGCAGTAGAAAAATGTTAATGTGTATTTCTGCCTATGTCTACCAAATTCTTTCTCTAACTGACAAGTGATGTGTGATGTTTAAAATATTACCACATCCAGGGTCCCCAAAATATCAACTTAATAAAATCCTAAAAATGTCCCTAATAGCAAGCTCAGTTCCGTCATTGTTAGTATTCATGATCTTATTTTTACTTTAACAATGCTTCTCATGCATTAACTTTTTCAGTGTGTTAATATACTTTTGTGTTGTTGAAGTTCCCAAATTTGAAACATTTCCTTTCAGCAGTTTTAATTCCTTACATAGTTGTTGGTATAAAACATGTTGTTCTTCATATTGTGATGATGTAGAACTCATTCCATCTGCTGGTTAGTACTTCTGAAGCTGCCTCACACAGACATTAACCCTATTGCCATGGGTATCCTTTACTGCGCATGACACAAGGTTTTAGTGTCCTATATTCCAAATTTTATTAAACTACTTTTTGTATATGTTACACCAATCAGTATAGCATAAAATCTTAGCTAGTAATCCATATTTTAAAAGTACATAAGTTTTAATTTCTTAATTCTACAAGGCAATATTTAAAATAATCCTCCTCTAGTGTGATACATGTGACACATTTTCTCTAGACATCTTCTCTTCTCTATTTTATCCACCATCCCTCCAAAAAGTATGAAATTAAATGTAAATTGCTCAATATAGAATCATCATTGCTCAGACAAACCATTATTTTTATAGCCTTCAATTTTGTTAGGTTACAGAGCTATCAAATAGAAAATCAGGCCCCTTCTGCCACATCCACCTGTCACATCCTGTCTTTCAGGATTTGTTAATAGTTCTCTCTTATATTTAATCATATATTACCTATAACCAGTAGAAAGCCAAGGTTTTCATTTATGAAATGATATATTGTATAATGAGTTCTGAACAGATAATTGTCAGTTTCACTCAGAGTATAAGTTCTGTTCCTGTGGGAAACCTAATGACTAGCTTGGATGAATTTGTAATGGCTCTTGTTGCACAGTTAGAAAGCCAGAAAAATGTTGAGTGTTAGGGGAATTTGTATACTTTTTACATGTTATTAGTCTGTGTTCTTCGGTGGATTATTTAATTAAATAAAAATTATTTAGTGCATTACTATCATTAGTATAAAAAAGTAGGGTTAAGTGTCATCGACAGTAAAAAAATTAAGATTGGGTAAGTACTTTAAGTAAGTATTTTTTATGCTTATTCTTTATTTATTATTATAAAAGTAATTAAAATGTAAAACTAAAAATAGGGATCTTTTAGGTTAGTTAATATTAAATTAGGTATAATAATAATATAATAAAAAATATTTCATGAGGCACACACACACACAAGTTCATGGGTAATGTAATTCAATAGCGTAACGTGACCTGCACATTCCCTGTGTGATTTACAACTTATAATGGCGTGGGTATTAGTTAGACATGGTTCAAAGGACAATAAAACAATAAAATTTAATTATAAATAGATGTATACTGTTACGAGCTTAAAACTACTTAGGATAAACATGTGTAGTGTCATGTTACAATTTGATGTCATTCTAGAAAGGAAATATGGTAACTGAGATTTTTTTTTGGTGGTTATGAGGTCAATCAAATTGACTGATCCCATATAGAGGTAGGGTAGAGAAAATAACAAGTGTTACAGAAAACAAATGTGAAATGTATTTAGGAGGTTTTAGGGATTACACAAAAGAAATATGAGATTTTTAAGATGAGGAAAAGTATTTTTTAATCTTAACATGAAACCACTTTGCACACGGACTATTCAAAACAAAAACTCTTTATATATTCATGGACAAATCTTTATTTTAGTTTATTAAAAATAATTCACTATATGTGAAAGACTTGTAATGTTAACTGAAAGACTGCCAAATTTTGTGAAGATATGCACACTATTGAAAGTTAGAAGTATTAAATCTATAAAGATTTTAAAGGAGTATAAAGAGGTCATGTGATCAGTCAAATTGACCGAGCCTGTGTTGTGAGTTAATGTTGTCATGAACCAGATGCTGCTGTTGAAAATCCATTTTAGTTTTTGTATTAAAAAAAACTAACTAAATCTTATTTAACTATAGTCACAAGAAGTTTTCCAGGAAAATATATTAACCTTGAAGAATTTTATTTTTCATGGGAATTTATTGTTGAATTGTAATTACATGTCTACAACTATGTATTTGAAAAGGTTTTTCATTGTACAAAACTTAAAGTTAGCTTTGATATACAGAAACATTGGCTCATGTAGATACATAGATCTTGAAAGTCGAGTTGTTCAAAACTTGAAAATAGCATTTATAACTGGACCAATTGTTGGTTGAGATGTTGCAAAAGAAAAATCTGCTGAAGCTTTTCCTTGATAGACTGGGCCCGACATGGCCAGGTGGTTAGGGCATTTGACCCGCAATCTGAGGGTCGTGGGTTTGAATCCCCATCCCACCAAACATGCTTCCTCTTTCAGCTGTGGGGGCATTATAATGTAATGATCAATCCCATTATTCGTTGGTAAAGAGTTGGCGGTGAGTGGTGATTACTACCTGCCTTTCCTCTAGCCTTTCACTGCTAAATTAGGGATGACTAGATCAATCAGCTCTCTTGCATTAACTTAGGACAGTCTTCACTAGCTTTCTCTCATACTTCTGTGTCTTTTGTTGATTCTATAAATGACACGTGTTGAAGCATCGGCTATTTTTCCATCCAGAATGAAAAAACTGTTTGGATTCCAGTTTTGAATACTGTGTTTGTTTGTTTTTTGTATTTATTATTATTATTGAAAAATTTTACACAACAACATTGTAAAATTAAAGCTGTTTTGTTAACCCTCAACTGGTAGGGTAAAATATTTGTATCATAAGTAGTAGAGTAGGTCAGATGACTCATGTAATAAACTTCACAGATATTATCTTTATAATATGATGGGGTCAGAATGATCCACAGCTCTGCTCAACACTCAATAACTGATTGAGGATAGAATAGAGAAGATATCAGGTGGAGTGTAGTACTAACTGAGTTGGCCATTCTGACCCCACCATACGAATTGAGGGTTTAATGATAAATGGATTAATGCTATGTCGAATATCAAAGCTACTATTTAACAGTGTATGAAAATCTACTCGTGTATTAGAAACATATTGTTACTAACTTGTAACCTTAATAAACTGTTGTATTTGATTTTTAGCCAAAGGGTGCTGACAGAAAACACAAGACAGATCGAGAGAAGATGATTAAGAGACCTCAGTCAGAACAAGTAAGCTTCTATAACATACCTTTCACAGAAATCGTTTTATTTTGTTCTTTTCAGTGGAGTTACTAAAAATAAAATATGTTGTTTTGAGTTTCCTGTTATATAATAGATGGATTAACACCAGTTTTGTGAGACACTGTTTTGTTTTATCAGAAAATCCAACTGTTTTTACCAGAGCTCAACACACTTTTTATGTTTTTTCAGAGTTGATTTTTCTGTTTTAGCAGAAAGACCTACTGGTTTTTTGTTATCCCAAAGAGATCAACTTCCTTTGCTGACCTCAAAAAGCTACTGATTTTGCTGTTTGTATATAAAAGAACTTATTATCTTGTGCCTTTCTGATTCTTATAAAGATCAACTGATTTTGTTGTTATACCAGAAAGCTTTACTGATTTTATTATTCCAGAAAGCTCTACTGATCTTTCTTGTTATCCTCATATTAAAGAAAGATATGGTGCCTTCTACTTTTCCAAAAGGCTATATGACCTTTATTTCCCAGAACGTTCTGCTGATTTTGTTGTTATCCCAGAAAGCTATACTGATTTAGTTATCCCAGAAACCTCCACTGATTTTTCTGTTTGTATATAAGAACATCCCCGAGTCGAAGATCCTCGCTGGTTTCTCCTTCCAAGGAGATTCTGTGTGATGTATCTCCACTCATAAATAAGGAATTATACTGCCTATCAGTGTTCTTATTTTGGCATTTACATCACCACATCAATTGCCACTGTCAAGGCAAGTTATCTGAACTGTAAAGTACATCCATATGTTCCCAACCCTCTCAGATGTTTCCAGTGTCAGTGGTTCGGTTATCCAAAGGCATCGTGTTGTGGTAGCAAAGACCACGATGCCTACAAGTGCAAACTGGACTCTCACTGTGTTAATTGTAGTGGTTCCCACCCCTATTACTATAGATCTTGTCCTAAGTGAGCAGAGGAGAAAGAGGTACAGCATTTAAAAACAGTTAACAACAATTCTATCTGAAGGCTCGAAAGTTGTTTTCCCAGATTCCATCACGGAAATATGCAGTCCATTCCACTGCTACAATGGGTGTGTAGACAGAGCTTTCCTTGCCTCCGTCAGAGTCTTTTTCACATCATGTGAAGTGTCTTTTGCCCTCTATGGATACACGAGTTGACAGGTCCACGTCTGTTCCTATCTCTGTCCCCTTATACTTCCAGTGACTGCCCAGGTCCACCTCCTTCAGCCCCGGCTTCCAGTGTCTGCTCGGATCCATCTTCGGCCCCGAGATGCAGAACAAGTAATCGTTCACGCCCTCAGCCACTGGAATCTAAGTCTAATGACAGAGAGCTGCCCACTTGACCAAGAGCAGGACCCATGGAGGTCAATAGACCTCCTTCTAGTAAAGAAAAACAGCATGGTCATAAACAGAATGGTTCTCCTCCACTTAAGTAAAATTTCCGGTTTGATACAGTGGAACTGTCAAGGTTTTTATTCTAATCTGGATGACATTAAGGCCTTGATCGATTCCTATAATCCGCATGTCTTTCCTTACAGGAAACATTCCTTAAACCTGCCGATACAATCGCCTTTTGGCAGTTTTCTTTATAGAGAAATGACAGGTATGTGGTGGATGAGTGCATGGAAGAGTGGCACTGCTGGTTGACTAGCACGTGCCCACCTCAACTGTGCCATTCGATATATACCTTTGGAGGCCATAGCCATCCATGTTTCCTTGGGTCATACCATCACTCTTTCTTCTCTCTACCTTTCTCCTGGAGAGACTTATGATCAACCAAATCTTGATGCTCTCATAGAACAGTTGTCACCTCCCTTTGTAATCATAGGAGACTTTAATTGATGCATTTTCCTCTGGTTCCTTTACCTATTTTCATGCACCTAGTCAGTCTCTTACTGCTATTGATTTGTCTATCTGCTCTCCTTCCCTTTTCTCTTGTTTTTCTTGGAAGGTTGATAGTAACCCATGGGGTAGTGATTATATTCCTATTGTTTTGAGAGAGATTGATCTTGGTCGATGACACCCAACCCAAGTGTCATGATGGAAGTTGGACCAAGCCGATGGGCTTTCTTTCTTAGAACTCGATCCTGCTGTTGCTAATCTTCCTTCTATTAACAACTGCGTGGAGGCAATAACTGCCTGCATCATTCAAGCAGCTGTTTATTATATTCCTAAAACCTCAACACGTTTCTCACTATATCCTCGTCCTCTCCAGCCTGCCAGCGGGTATGGATGGCTCAGAAATTGGCCTTGGATACCTTTCACAGGTATCCCACTATTTTCAACTGCATTGCTTTCCAGCAGGCCTGTACCCATGCTCAGCAGGTCAGGCGTCAAAGCCAAAAGGATTCTTTGATTAAGTTTACAACTAGCATCTATTCTACCACCAGTTCCAAAGTCATATGGGACAAAATTCAGAAGATCAATGGAAGGTATGCTTCCCATCCCCTTTCCATCTTGCTCTCCAATGGCCAAGATGTTGCTGATGTACAGAGCATTGCCAATACTCTTGGTGATCAATTCAGGCAGAGGGATAACCTCTTTCCTTTCGGTCTGATCATCTTTACGATTATAATCACCCCTTTACACTGGTGAAATTGAAACTTACTCTTCATTGGTCCAGTACATCAGTCAGACCTGATGACATTCAATATGAAATGCTGCACCATCTCTCTCCTGCCTCTCTTGCTCTTCTTCAGTTTGTATTTAACCGGATCTGGCAGGAGAACATGTTTCTAATTATTGTCCCATTGCTTTGATTAGTTGTCTCTGTAAGGTCTTGGAAAGGATGGTTAATGCTCATCTTGTTTGGTTCCTTGAATCAAATAAACTCCTCTGGCCCACCCAATGTGGGTTCCATTGACAGCACTCCACCGTGGACCACCTGATTCAACTTGAGACCTCGATCAGGGAAGCCTTTCTCAAGTGGGAACATCTTGTTTCTGTTTTCTTTGATCTTGAGAAGGCTTACGACACAATGTGGAGGTACGGCATTTTGCGGGACTTCCACTCATATTGGTTGCATGGTCATCTACTCATTTTATTCAAAACTTTTTACTCAACAGGTGATTTCAGGTCTATGTGGGTTTGATACTTTCCCATTCTTTCACACAAGAACTTGGAGTCCCTGAGTGACCCTGGACACTACCACCAATGAAATATAGGTCCAAACCAAGCCTTTATAGTAGCTAGGTACT